CTCCAGCCCCGCAGCTCGCCCGCCCGCCCGGCTCGCCCGGGGGAAGGTAGCAAGCGGGCGAGCGCGCCCTCGCCCCAGCCCCGCGCGGCGACCAAGGACCGGGAAGATGAACGGCGGAGGCAAAGCCGAGAAGGAGAACACCCCGAGCGAGGCCAACCTTCAGGAGGAGGAGGTACTGAGGGGGGCCGGCTTGGGGGGTTCGGGGCGCACAGGGAAGGGGGGTGCCACGGGACGCGGCGTCCCGAGGGCGCGGGGCTGTGTCCACGCGCGTCCGCCTGCCTCCCATTGCATAACTTTTGAGGACTTTCCCGAGACTTTTTTGTAAGTAGAATGCTCAGCTTTGTCTACCCGGGATGTTAAAAGCGGAATCGAGAGCTGACTCCCGGGTGACCTCAGATGATTGGGATCGGGGAGGGTCAAGATTTGGGTTCTGCGTCTGCGGCTGGAAATTGGAGGGAGGCATGGTCGAAGGAAGAAACTCTGGGAAAGTTTTCGTTAAAAGATACTTCCGACCCCAGCTCCCCTCCCTCCCTCCCTCTCTCCCTTTCGGTGTTAAAAGTGCTGGGTGAAATATCTTCCTAGCTGAGACATTTTGGATTAATAGATAACTCATCAGCCGCATTCTTCTCCGATGAGTCGAAGACCCCTGCCGAACCTGGACGATGTGGAGTGGGGGTGGGTGGGTGGGTAGAATAACAAGGGCTAAAAGCTTTGGGTTCCCCAAAGCAAAGGCGCATGGAGGGTGTTTTCATAGGAAAATCACAACTTTATGTGGCACACTCGAAATGATGATTAAAAACAATTTGCGGCTGTGGTGCGTTTCTTACTGAAAACACTTGAGTAATGCGTGTGGATGGGGTGTGCACGGGACTCGGTGAATTTTGTCGGTTTTGTGGTTGTCCTGCCCTGCCTGACTTCACTCCTGCAGGTGGGTTCTCTGGAGGTCCAAGAAACTGTATTTATCTTTGTAAGGTCTCCCAGAATTAAGTGCAGAAGCAGAAAGTGCCCAACCCCACTATAGGGTAAAAAACGATCTTACAGGTAAATTACATCCTAATAAGGAGGGTGAACACAACTCAAAACTGGCTGTGACGAGATTAGGATGGTGAGAATATTGGGACGGCGTGTGCAAACTAAGATACCGAGACTGAAACCAAACATTAAGAAAGTTCATCCATCCACCCATCTCTCTGACCTGTGAACTGTCCACTGGTAAAATGGGAACTATTTAATGGGGAAGACAAAAGAGACCCAGACTTATGCAAAACAATGCAAAGTAGGAGTTTGCTCACAGTTGTCGTGGGGTGCAACCCTCAGGGAACTGAAGAAAGCTGAAAATTGCCTCCCCACCTGAAGAAATTACCTATTTTCTCAGCAAGTCTTGCTTTGGAAAGTTTTGTTTATGCTGTTTTATAACAGAGCCGGGGAGCCAGCTGTAAGTTCCGGCTGCTTTTCAGTGTATTTCCTGACAAGTTAAACATTTAAAAAAAAAAAAAAAGATGCCCATTTGCTTTTAAAGAAATTTCTGGGTTTTTAGCATGCTTTAATGAACACAACAAGGTAATTTCTCATTTCAGATTAGCAATACCCTTATCCCTGCTAAAGGATGGAGCCTAGGAAACCATCTTTCTTCCTCCATCTGGTTCAGAAAAGTTGCAGCTGGGAAAGAGCGCATAACACCCAAGTTTTGGTCCTTTTAAAATGATTTTGGAAAAATAACAAAACCCCATATTTTATTTTCTTCAGGTTTTAGTAGATAACAACAGGTTTGTCTCCAGATTCCATACCCACTTGCCTAACAATTACGGCAAGTCAGATTTTTCTCTTGATGAGTCTTAAGCTGCAGATCCTAACAGTACTTCCCTCCGGGTGATCACGCCTAGCCATGGACCATGTTGGTGTGATCATCTGCCGGGTCGCCCTGACAGGGAGTGTTCTTTGTCAGGTAGGGATGGCATGTGGTTCTAGGAGGTGTTTATCTTTCACAGGGAAACATTTAAGAAATAAGAGGGGTAGGCAGATTGCAGAGCTCAGGTTGTACACTAGTGGTAGTGTATAAAACACATACACCATGAAAAATGAGCTTTAGTTACTTGTGGTTTTGTTGTTGTTGTTGTTGTTGTTTTTCTACTAGGAAATGGACCCAGGACCACAGGCATGCCAGGCAAAGCACCCTATTAGTAGGTACTTTATGCGTTTTTATTTAAAAATAGGGTTTCCCAAGTCACACCATCTGGCTTATGAACGTGAATTCCTGCCTAAGAGTCCTGGGGTTAAGGATATTTGCCATCACACCTGGCTAGCATAATAGGGAAAGGAAATTGTTAGTGATCCAGGTAACTTTATCATACTTATCCGTTCTCCTGTAGACTTGGTTTTTGAAAAATTCCTAGGCATTCTACCCCCCCCCCCCAATCCTGGAAGCCACAAAAAGTCAAATAAGTACAGTATTTTGGTGAGTTCCATGAATGTGCATGTCATTATACAAAACCACAACACTGGACACATGCCCTGCCTGTCCAGTGGACCAGCACCTGTTCAGATGCATTGAAAAGCCTTGGAGTGGACACACACACACACACACACACACACACACACACACACACACACACCCTGTGTACATGTAGGAAGAAGAGAAATGTGCTTATTGTCATTTCCCGTGGCTGCTGAACTGAGTTGGAAAAGTGAGTCCACCCATCACTAAGAGAAAACCGTATCTCATAGATCACCATGGACTTTCTCTACACTGGAGAGTTTTCGTTCAAGGTTTTCTTCTTCCTATGTTTGAACCCAGCTCCTCTTATCAACCAGTATGTTTTAACCCTGAGTCCCGTGGCTTATTCTGCAGTTATGACATTACTGGTTGAGAAGTTTTTGAGGAGCTGCAGCTTTGTATAGCACTTCAAACCAAGGGGAGTCATTTTAAGATTTTGCAGCTGTGCGAGAGACAATACATCTGGCCTTCTAGCATGTTGTGTATGCTCTTTGTAAGTTTTCCTGGAAGGACAACCAGTTGTCGATCTTACTGGGACCTGAGAGTTGCCAGGGTTTTGTGTGTATGTGCAGATTGTTGGATTATTTCTTACATCACCTCACTTTAAAGAAAATAATGCTGGAGGAGGGTTGAACATTCAGAAGCCAGCCTTAGCTACATAGCAAGGCTCTGTTTTGAAACAGAAGTTCTTAGTTGGGCGTGGTGATGATTCCTTCCTTTTGTAAGGCAGAGCCAGGTGGATCTCTTTGAGTCTGAGGCCAGCGTGGTCTACATAGCGAGTTCTAGCCCAGCCAGGGCTGCATAGTGAGACACTGTCTCTAAACGAAAGTTTCAAAAAAGTTCTTAGAATGTGTCTCCAATTGTACGTATGATCAGGTTTTATTAAGTTAATAAGTATGTAGGTAATAAACTTATAATTTGTCTCATAATCAACTGTCATTAGTAAGTTTCAATGTGTTCAGACATACTAGGACCCTGTCTTACAGAAGCTTATTGGCCATTGATTTCTTTGTTGGATATGAGATAAACATGCCATTTAGTTATATTTTTAGTTTCATTCATGTCATTGGATACTTTTTAGGTGGATCACCTTTATGTTGAAGCAGTTTAAAATACATCTCAGTTCTGGGAAAGCAGTGTAAGGGGTAATTAAATCAGAGAAGCAAGAGTTGGCCACATGGCAGGGCAGCATTGATGGGGATGTTTGGCAGAAATCAAATCAAGTCAGATCTGAAGAGGGTCATGCAATTTTTACTTCAGATCTTTTAGAGTGCTTAGTATTTTGCCAGAGCATTGGAGTTGTAAGTTGTTTGTTTGTCTGAAACAGTTGGCATACAGGAAAGGGAATGTCTGTCAGTGGTGTGGAAACCCACTTCTCATTCCATATTGAGATTCTTCGGGTTCTGGAAAGATCGATATAGCTTTGTACAATTTAACCTATTGTTGCCAACCAAATCTAGCACAGCAAACTTGTTTCAGTCCTGGAGCAGGAGCTGGTGGCGGTGATTTGGATGGAAATGTGACCTCAGTGGTAGAATGATGTCCGAAGAGCCACTGCCGAATGTAGCATGCATTTTGGCTCCTTGGCCAAAAGTGGTTTTCCAGTTTCTCCAATAAGCTGCTGGTGGTGCCTGGAAGCGTTTGCAAGTGCTCTGACTTGGTCCTTTGGTTGAGGTAGAGGCTTCTTTTATGGAGGCCTGAGTAAGTGTTAGAGCTGGGGCAATAAACTGGGCACATGTCATCGGTAATGAAGTTGGGACTGTGGTTCTGAGGAGTTTTGGCAGGGGCCATCAAAACATGTTCTGGCCCTTTGATTTAGTACCAGTATTGTTAAGAATTTACTCTAAGGAAATTGGGTGGTAATAAACATTTCTTTCTAGGAGGGATTGTTGCAGTTGTGATGGCGAAAATTCTCAGAGCCCGTTCCACAAACGGGAAGTTGCTAAGCCAATCATTGTAATTCCAGAGGGCATGCTCTCCAGCCTTTAGAGGATACGTTCTTTGACGTGTATTTATTACAGATTGTTTCTGTGTATGTAATATATGTAATAACAATAGATGGGTCTGAAAACGAAAAATCTGAAGACAGGGTCCTGGCAGGCCATTGCTTCCTGGAAAATGTTAGGGAAGAGGCGGGCTCCAGACATCCTGAGGGGTGTGTTTTTGTTGAGCAAGCAGGAGTTTTCAAGTTTTAATATATTTTTTTTTAATTTGTTGAGATTGTAATGATCTCATTTCCCTTTTCCCTCTACCTCCTCCACACCCTCCCGTGGAACACCCTTACTATGCTTTTCAAGTTCTTTAAAACAAGGGTGTATGTAAAACCAGATAGAAAGAAACTGAGTGTCATCGATGGATTACACACAGATCATTGTGAATGGCTTTCCTCTGCATTTCCAAAATGACGATGTGAGCCAGTGACGATGCCTTCTGGCTTTCGTTAAAAGATTGTGTTAAATTCTTTTGTGATCCATGTAGGTGGTTGGTTTGGCTTACCAGCCTGACTTGGGCAGGACGCAGGCCTGTTCTGCTCCTCAGGGCCCTTCGTCATGAGATTCTTCCCACCTTCTTTTATTCTGGATCATGTTCGTGATCTTCAGCTGCACCCCCAGGTTCTAATAGCCTTCCTCGGTCCAGCATGATGCCGCGCAGCTGGGTCTCATGCTATCCCAAATCTT